CCCTCCCCCGACCTCGCCGCATTTCGACGGCAAATTTTGCCGTAATCGGAAGCTAACATGGTTGGTGCAAGGCATGGCGCATGCTCACCAGGTCCTTCTTGCCCCCAGAGGAGCAGAAGCAAATTCTCGCCTACTCTCCCATGTACCACGCCCGCCTCTTCCGCGAACAGCCCAACGTGCGCGCGCAGCACTTCCACCCGACCCGCGCCGCCGCCGGCAAGGAGGGCGACGAGTCCCTCTTCCTCGACGGCAACCCGGCCATCGACCGACCGCTCTTCGTGCAGTTCTGCGCCAACGACCCGGATGACTTCCTCGAGGCGGCCCGCCATGTGGCGCCGTACTGCGACGCGGTGGATTTGAACCTCGGATGTCCCCAGGGCATCGCGAAGCGCGGACACTACGGAGCGTTCCTCCAGGAGGACTGGGACCTGATCTACAAGCTGATCAACCGCCTGCACATCGAGCTCCCCATCCCGGTCACCGCCAAGTTCCGCATCCAGGAGACCAAGGAGAAGACGCTGGAGTATGCGAAGATGATCCTGTCCGCCGGCGCGAGCATCATCGCCGTGCACGGCCGACGCCGGGAGCAGAAGGGCCACAACACGGGCGTGGCGGACTGGAGCTACATCCGCTACCTGCGCGACAACCTGCCCCCAGAGACGGTCATCTTCGCCAACGGCAACAATCTGAACTACGACGATCTGGACCGCTGTCTGGAAGCCACCGGGGCGGATGCCGTGATGAGCGCCGAGGGTAACCTGTCCGATCCGTCGATCTTCAGCAAGCCGCCTCCCGTCGGCAGCGAAAGCAGGGATTACTGGCGCGGCCGGGACGGGAAGGGCGGATATCGCATCGACGCCATGCTGCGTCGGTATCTGGATGTGCTCTACAAGTACGTCCTGGAGCAACCGGTCCCTGAGCGGAAGCCGCTGTACCTACCGTCCGACCCCGTGGAGGAAGAACCCGCGCAGGATTTGGAGACCGAGGAAGAGGATGGCCCACCCAAGAAGAAGCAGAAGCGCGAGAAGGGCAAGCGGGCGGCCTCCCCCAGTCTGGGAGTGATGCAGGGCCACCTCTTCCAGCTCCTCCGTCCCATGGTCTCCGTACACACCGACGTCCGCGACGCTCTGGCCAGATCGCGCCCCGGCGACATGGCCGCGTTCGAGCATGTCCTGACGCTCGTCGAGAAGGCCGTCAAGAAGGGCCTCCAGGAATACGAGGAGTTCCCCGAGCGCTTCGAGCGGTCCCCCGACGAGAAGCTGACGGGGTCCAAGGCGACGATCGCGGAATACGGCCGGCCCTTTTGGGTCTGCCAACCGCATATCCGGCCGTTGCCGGAGGAGGCCGTCGAGCTTGGAGCTCTTACCGCCAAGGGATCTGTGACCACCAAGAAGAAGCAGCAGCAGCAGCCCAACGGCACGACGGACGGAGCAGTCGAGACGCCAGCCACCCCGGTTGCCGAGGGATCTGCCACTCCTTCTGGAGACTCGAAAACGGTGTCAGCCATGGCTACGCCCGATCCTTTGGTGAGCGGCTGAGAAATGAATTGACGTGACCTTGTTGTTTTCCGGAGTACTGGGGGGGAAGTCATAGCATTTATACCCATCTCGGGCATAGCTTATTGTTGTTTCTACATTGCTTTGTTTAGATCGTTTAGAACCCGTCGATAGACCAGAGTATATAAAGAGTTCTGTTCGCTAATTTCTCTACAACAGAAGGATATCCAACAAATCAGGTATCTCGCATCACAAACCTACAACCCGTAAACCCAAATAACAAACCGCACCTCAACCCCCAAACTCCATCCTTACCCAACAAAAATCCACCTAAAAATCCATAACAAGCTGCGGCGCCAACTTCTCGAGATCCTCAACCTACACAACCCATTAGCGTACACTCCTACCAAACCCCCAAACTCAACAAGCCAAAGGGAAGACAAGGGGTGGTGGCAAAAACAAACCTCCAAAAACCCATCCCCCACACTGGCCCCCTCGCCGACGGCCTCACGGCGCTCGAACGCGGCCCGCGCCAGCGCCTCCCGCACAAACACATCCACATACTTGGCGACGACCGTGTTGGCGTCCTTGGCCATCTTGGTCTTCGGGTGCTGGAAGTGGTGGTGCAGCAGCCGCGTCAGCAGCTTGGCGGGGATGACGGGCTCGCGCGTGACGATATCCTCGGCGGGGTCGGTGGTGTGCGTGATCTCTGCGAGGATGTAGTCCGGTTCCGGGGAGGGGGAGGGGGAGGCGGGCGTTTCGTTGTTGGTGTTGTTGTTGTTGCTGGGAGGAGATTGGGAGGCGGAAGCGGAAGCGGATGGTGCGGGGGAGGTTGAGTTTGAGTTTGAGCGGGAGGGGGATGTTCTTCGCCGTTTGGGCCGTGGGTTGTTGGGGGGTTGCTCTTCTGCGTCGTCCGAGGCGGAGGGTTCGTCGTCTGTGTCGGAGGGGGGAGGTGGGGGGAGGGTGGGTTTGTTTTTGGATTTGGTGGTGGTGGGTTGCCGGGCTTTGGAGGAGGGTGCTGTGGTTGTGGTGGTACTCTTTCGTGTTGGGTTGGGTTTAGTGGACGATGAGGATGCTGTGGTGGTGGCTTTGGATCTGGGCTTGGATGATGACGCTGAAGCTGATGCGGCTGCTGCTGCTGCTGTTGGTGCGGATGAAGAGGCCCGGCTCGGGGGTTTGAACGGCAGTCTGCGCCGTTTCTGTGTGGGCTGTCTCTCGGGGGGCATTTTGTTGTCGGTGTAGAAGTAGAAGTAGCGCTGGCTGAGCTTTATTTGCTCGTCAGGTTATTCTTCCCCAAGGTGAGTCGTCTTGGTAGTGGTGGTTGAGATGCGGAGATGGCGTCGCGAAACACGTGCATCGCGGAACTAAACGCGAGGTCATGTGATAACAATCATGATCATTATCACTTCCATCATAATCGCAGGCTTTATTAAATGTTGATTTTTGGATATTTGAATATGGTCATGCTCTTCAGAGTTGCATCAGGAGTCTCTGAATTTGTCTTCGTGAAGTGCACTTCTCAGCTGATTCGTTTCTAGCAAGATTCTGCCGTCCAGATACATTTTTCCTTTTGCGGTGGTTTATCACGATACACATCCAATTGCGCAGTGGCATTTGCTTTGCAGAATAAATCTACGACTTCACAGCATGCTTTCAGTGCGATTACCAAGATTAAATACCCAGCGGGTGTTTGATTCGAGCTACGAGGTTCCCAACAAAGCAATAATTGCAGAATTAAGTCATTGCATATCAACATAGTTCGAGAAAATTAGAACAACTTCAGAGAAACTAACATCAAGAACACCAGCCAGCTCATCAGTAAAGAACATGCAGATGCTGCGCCTAAGTATCATCGTAACAAAGTATGGTCCCAAGCCGACGCAGGATTCTTCGAATTCACACCCTCCATCCTGCTGTCAGCCAAGCGACCAAGCTAGGACCCAGTATCACGTCTCCCATCGATGACCGCAAAGAAACACCCCAAGAAGCACGCCATCACGGCTGAGGCTGTCTGACAACAGTGACCTCCAGCCCGGATCTCAGCAGAATATCTCTCGAATGAGCCCAATCCACTTCGAACAAGCCCGAGTTGAACTGACACGACCAGAGCCGCCCCAAATCGATCCCCTCGTCACGGAGTTCATCGAGCTGTTTCTTCAGGTCTGCGACCGCAAGTTCAGTGTTTCCCAGCAGAATGTCGACCGGCGAGAGGGCTCTTCCATGGTTGAAGGACGTGAAGAGGCAGATGATCCAGTGCTGATGCCCGCCGCTGGGCTCGTAGTCGCCGTGCTGGGGCGGGATGATGAGCGCAGTGCCTTCGGGCAAGCGGAGACGGCGCGGACCTGTCTCGCCTGTGACGACCACTTCTGTGTTGAGCGTATTGTAGTCTTGACAGTGAGTAACCTAGGCGATATAAGCATTGGGATACTGGGGATGATGGAATCATGTCAGTTATTTGGCCAGAATGAGATGGCAGGCTGGGGAGCATACTCTGTCTCGGAACTTTCTAGCAATCCCCTTGCCCCAATGGCCTTGACAGTTGCAAGCGTCTAGGATTCATCAGGATCAGATACTCTAGTCCGACGAGCACAACTTACGGATCAGTGCCGCTCCATCGGGGGCATCGAATAGATTGCCTTCTATCTCCAGGATACGTCCTTGGCCATATTCCGGCTCCATTCTGCGTAGTTGGATCCTTGGAATGCAAGAATGAGTGTGATCATAAACTGAAATTTGTAGAACCAGGCGGGTAGTGAAAGGAAGGTAATTGAGAGTTAAGGAAGAATGAGCTAAAGGAGAGGAAGAAACGGTTTTGATATTGGACCCCACTCGGTGCAGCAGAGCTACAAACAAAAAGGAAGGACAGCCAAACCAAGACAGAACCACAAGCAAATCACAGCACCAATTCGAACATTAATCCAGACAAAGACCCAATCCAACGACCGGATTCACTGCTGGTCATTACCGTTATCCACCGGTTCAGGTTGACCTGCATCCTCACGGACTGCCGAAGAAAGAGAGCTTCTCGCCTTAGTGGTTGACCTGGACCTGGACCTGAACTTGAGTTTCTTCCCCTCCTTAGAAGCCTCGCTTCCGTGAGACTGATCCTCGGCCATGGATGCTGGCGACTTCTTATCACTGAAATTCCACGAGGATGTTGTCGCCACAGAGATCGGAGCACTCTGTGTGCTACCGGATTTCAACTTTCGGCTCACAGTCCGAGAAATAGTTCGAAAAATCCCCGTGCCACGCTCCAGATTTGCCAACTGGCCCATCACAGTCACTCCGTTGGTTGCAAGGTTCTCTTCCGGCATCGGAATGTATAAGATGATTCCGCGGTTCGGCGCTATGTTTAGAATCTTCTGGAGCTCCATCTGAATCAGGATGGTACTGCGGAGATTCATTATAGGCGCTATGAGAAACGGCAATGCGAACACCTTCATCAGGTACGCCGGCGTATTTGAGTTCCCAAAGTAAACACAAGCATCTTGCTGAATCGTGGTCATGATGAAGACCTCGGGCTTTTCAAGAATCTGTGCCATCCTTGTTGAGATCGTCGACGCCAGCGTGTCATCGTCCTTGACCTGAGGTTGACATCAGTGTCCAGTCCAGATCCAACCGATCCTATACTCTAACGAAGCAACAGGGACAAGTGAATGCTTACCCGGGTATTGATCTTGACCTCAACGACGGTCACAGCTTCGTGAGTAATCTGAGTTCTCGTGGAGGTCACCAGACCCCTGATATTGAACATCTCCTCGAAGTATTGACTTTTGGGACGCAACACAGACTCTCCCTCAATACTCTTGCGTTCGAGATGAGTCGGCTTCACATCAGCAGGCACACCTGGCTTGATGGGGTACATCGCATGCTCATCGTCGTCCTTCTCCTCGAGAAACATGGACGGCCTCACAGGTGCCCTATCCAGTTTATTCTTCTGCTTCAATGTCGCCTCGGAGATGGTCCTCGCACCGAGTGCTTGGAAGGCCATGGGCGATTGGAGCACAGGAACTGTTGGGGAGATACTCGAAGAGGACGTAGACGGACCGCTATGTCTCTTGCGGAAGGAGAACTCGAATCGGCGACGTCTTGGAGTCATTGTGCTGCAGGGTAAGATAATCAGCCCAGGTTAACCGACAAACGTCCTTGAGTCTGACTATTGATGGATGACCTTGCACAAGTACGCAAGAATGCAAGGGAGGTTGAATTTGACTGAGTGACTTCAATCCAGATACTCTACGATAAACCCGGGTTACTCGTCCTGGTTTGGAAGGAGCTATGAACTGTACGCGAAGAGGGAAGGTGGCTTCCTACGCCGACCTTGAGATATCTTCTTGTACGCCAACAAGCCAGCTCCCGAACATCAAAAGTACGTCCTCTCGAAAGTTGTTCCATTCAACTAAGAAAGCCCAGATAGTCAAAGGCCGAGTTTCCACTACAGAAGACCTTGTCAATCCTCCTCCTTCGATCCCATACAATCTCTTCATCCGACCGGCGTTTGATATGGAGGATACGATGTTGGGGGATGAACTCGTCGTGCGTCGTCTCTCGCTTCCACGTGTTGAAGCTGGCTTCAAGGCGTCCCTCGAATCGGTCCTCATATACAATCACGAAATCATCACTATCGTAGTCCGGGTCCCATATTATGCGATTGATGACATCTTTGACTTGGGGCATCAGTATCAAATCTGCCCATCGGATGATGGAATTGGATCAAATGACGTACCTGCAGCAGGTCGTAATCGATTCTCCACCGTCGCGGGTTTCGTGGGGATATGGCGGGCATGGATGGGCTTCTCTTGAAGGATGAGGGTTGCGACTCTCTCTGGAGAGCTTCGTCGTGATGAGGAACTTCTTTCCTTCGGTAACGAGATTAATGAAGGTGTAGTGTCCACAGTAGGAAGGACTTGTGAGACTTGCTCGGGAGCTTGGAGAGCCATGATTATCGGCATATGTGTACAGCTTCTAAGGACAAAAGAGGTTTGTATCAGAGTGATGATTTTATTGGTACGGTTACAGTAGCGGAAGCTGGATTTTAATAATGAAGTAGGGATGTTGATGGCGATGGGGATCTAAATCCTGTCTAGGCAGCCTTCAGGCGGCATACAAATCTCACGTTAGCTGGAGGCGGACTGTCACCAGTGAAGGACGGAGTTAGTGATACGCCATGTATTAGGGCCGCAAATTCACGGGACTGATTCAAATGAGTGATCCTTGGTTTCACATGGAGCCAATGGCTGGCTCGGTTCTTCGTACTGGTGACTCAAACCGTTGGTGGCGGAGCAGCTGACAGCACGAGTAAATGCTACATGACTCACTGCACTGTGCCATGAGAAAAGGAAGTTCAGTCGTGGCGAAGGGGTCAGAAAACTTGACACTGGGAACCCTGTGAAGGACAGAAAGGGCCTGGTTGACATGAGCGACCTGATATCCAGCTCTATTGATAGAGATTGAAGATGTTGACCCCCGATAGGGAGATGGAGCCCCCGGCTGTCCGACGACGTTAGCCCTTTAAGCGATTGAGAAAAAGGTCACTAAATACCATTTAACTCAACTTCAAAATTTGCGGATGACAGGGTTGTCCTCAGTATCATTTCTGAGACTACCTCTAACCGAATCTCATCGTAGTAGAGCCCTGGATTAGGCCTTCTCGCGCAGGTAAGAGGTACAGTACAGTAGTTGTAGTTGTGCCCGCTGTTCCTCCACCCGCAACTCCGCATCTTTGCGCGCGCCGCGCCTGACGCGTCGACCGGCAAGAAAGCAAGACACAACCGCATCATCAACTTCTCTCTTTCCTCCACCCTAGCAGCAGATAGTGCGACTACCTGCCAGCCATGACAGACGCCACCACCTCCTTGCTCACCGAGCATTTCAGCTACACCCCTCTAGTAAGCAGAATCCTTTTCACCCCCACCAAAAATATCCATACACACGCGCGCGCGGGCGCCTCGACTTCACCACCAACACCCCCCATCCCCAACCGGATCTAAAACCATGACTGACCTCCACACCCCCACGAACTCTAGTCCCTCATCGACGACATCATCAACTCAATCAACAATCTCATCTACCAAGCCATCTCGAGCCTCGAAACCGGTCTCCTCAACACTCCGCCCGAACGCCTCGGGTTCGCGCACGCCGCCAACGAATCCACAATCCCGGACACCGACGAGGATGGCAACGTGATCTACCCGGAAGCGCAACTGGAGATCGAGAATGGCCTTCACCAGTTGGAGACGCTCCTAGAGGCGACCGTCGACAAGACGTTCGATAAATTCGAGCTGTTTGTCCTGCGGAACACGTTCAAGGTCCCCGAGGACCTTATGGGTTGGATCCGCTTAAAGCATTATGAGGTAAACAATTCGACTGTGACGAAACCTTTCGCCCTGTTTTGCTCACGCGCAGTTTTTTAAAAAAAATAGAATCTCGACCTGCATCCCCCGGAAGATGCGCCCACGCCGGATACGATCGCCGCGCAGCGAAAGAAGCTCCTTGAGACCAAGAAGTTGAATCGGGCGCTGAAGCAGGAGAGCGCCCAGAACGACGCGATCATTGCGCAGTTACGGCAGATCTTGTCGATTAAGGGACCGAAACCGGACTCTACGAAAGCGGGTGACGAGGCGGCAGTGCCATCAGCTACGGCAAACACGACTAAAGATTTGGACTTGTCGTTCCTGACGTCGAGCGCTGCGGCGCGCCAGTTGCGCGTCGGGGCGGTGGCCGGATCTAATAAACAGCACACGCCCATCACCACGAACACTACGTTTATCCTGTCGCAGCTGCCCGCGCTGCAGGCGCTAATCAAAGAGCTCCGGCCCAAGCTGGCTACGCTGCAACAGTCGGAGGATAAGATGGAGGTCGACTCCAAGGCGGATGCGCGACGCGAATACATTGAGAGCAGAGTCAGGCTGCACCTGGAGCGCTCCGGGCAACTGGCTGCCGGGAACGAAGTCAACCTGGTGCTTACGGGCCGCAGAGTCGACATTGCAGAAGCGCAGGCGCTGGAGTCTGTCATGGGGCTACTTGCGGAGGGTCAAAACAAATCCGCCTAGTGGAGACGAACACAAACAAAGCAGCAAGTCTTCCCAGTGATGCACTTTTATTCGGGGGAAAGTTACTTAAAAACTTGCGCAATTGATGGCGAGGAAGAACTATGACGACCAGGTGACGCTCCACGTCTGCTGATCCCTCCGGAAAGGCACAACATCCACCTTGTCCGACTGCAGGATGTTCGGAATCTTCTCATCCTTCTTCTCGATGACAATGAACTCCTTCTGCTCCTCGCCGATACCATAGAACTGGCGGCCATACTTGCTCATGAAGCCCTCGAGGATCTCGGGCGTGATGTCCTCCTCCTTGAGGACGCCGTTCTGGCAGGCCTGCTCGAACGCGTCGATCACAAGCTGGGTGGTGAAGGGCTGGGTGAAGACACCGGCCGCGATCTTGTCGCCGCCTCTCTTGGACACGGCGGGGTGAGGGGCGCTATCGGAGCCGAAGAAGAACTTGGGGTTGCCGGATGCAGCCGCTCTCAGCAGCGCGTCCCGGTCCGCGGGGGTCTTGGCGACGGGCTTGCAGAAGCAGAACGGATCTCCAGCCCAGGAGTCGATGATGATAGACAAGTGGTGGGCCGTAACTATTTTTTTTGGTCGCCCCAACAGTCAGCCCGACATTCTCTCCAACAAGGGGTGGAAGGGATGGGGTCTCAATCCTCACTTGTTCCCGCCACCGTCGGCCCACACTTCTTCACGGCCTCCACCGCGGCGGCGGTGGTGCAGTGCTCCAGGATGATGCGCAGCTTGGGGAAGCGCTCATGCAGCTGCAGCAGGGTCGGCAGGAACCGCTCCTCGGCGGTGAGGACCGTCACGTCCCCCTTGGAGGGCACCTCGCCGTGCAGGTTGAGCACCATGTCCTGGCGCTCCATCTCCTCGAACACCGGGTAGAACTGAGTGTAGTCGATCACGCCGGAGGAGGAGTTGGTCGTCACGCCCGCCGGGTAGCTCTTGACGCCCGTGATACCGCGCTGCTTGGCCTCGATGATCGTCTCGGGCGTCACCGTCTCGTGCAGGTACAGGCTCATCAGGTAGTTGACGTTGGGCTCGATCGCTTCCAGACTCTTCTTGTACTCGAGGGCGCGGTCGACGGTTGTGACGGGGGGGACTAGATTCGGCTGGAGGCAACAGATGAGCAGGAAGACTAGGCTGAATGATAATGTCTTATGTGATAAATCCCTTTGTCGAACCTACGATTCCATACACAATCAAGGGAGGGGAATACGGGGAATGGGGGAAAAAGTTACCATAACAAAAACAGTATTCACACCTCCCTGACGAATAGTAGGCGTCACCAGCTTCATCATATCCCCATCGCGCAGGTGGACTGTATCCCCCCCACTCGTCCTAACACATTAGCCTAGACACTCTAAACATCCCACTCCACACCCCATTGACACTGTCCACGCTGTATCCCAGAAAAATACACAGCCCAGCATGCGGGGCATTCAAAGCAAAGCAAAGAAATAAAAACGCACCATGGAAATCCGCCGAAGCGGGGAGCTTAACGCCCTGCAGCTTGGAGAGGGGCATGGCGGACTGGTATCGTTTGGTGACGCAGATGCCGGAAGAAAAAGATCCAATCAATCGAGGATTGAAGATGCGAGGGCGAAGCATGAACAAGTCCTCGGGAAATTGTAAGATTGAAACTTGCAATGCAAGGCACAGCAAAAAGGGGAGAAAAAAAGTGCCTCCAGGCTTCATCTCCCGCCTTATTTTTCCCCGCCAAAATTTATCCGCGCGCGCGCCGCGGTGTGGGGTGAGTGACCGCCTGGGGTTTGATTGGTTGGGTGATAAGGGGTGGTCGTGGTGGTGGTGATGATGTCAGCGGGAGGTGCTCCGGTTTCGGGGCGATGGCAGTATACCTACGGTGGGTTGCGGAATGCTTACCTTAGTACTTTGTAGTAGCTATCTTGTTCCAAGGGTAGATGAATCAAGTCTAGGAGTCAAATTGACTAGGCACTTGAACGGAGTACTTCAATTTTAATTGAAAGTGAACGAATGATACGTCAAGAGTAACAACTAACTAGCACAGATCAACAGATTCAAAACGAGCAAATCAAGCTGGAGCGATTGTTGTTTGACAAGAACAGGGAAGCAAAGCACACAGCAACAAATCACGAACAAGATAGTTTTCATCTCTTCTCGCTTGCGAGATCAAGGGTTAAGCCAGAGGGGCGAGCTTCAGAAGCCACCAGGCTGGCCACCGCTGGACTGGCCGCTTCCCCCTGGTCCACCAGAGCCGCTGGACTGGCCACCACCAGGCGAGCTTCCTCCAGTTGAGGATGAGCTGTCATCCACAGCTTCGCCGCCGCTGGAGGTGTAGATGAAGCTGTAGTTGGGGTCATAGGTGGCGGAGACGTTGACGGCGATGGTGATCCATCCGAAAAGCCCATCGCTCAAGTCATCGCCAATATAGACATAGTTCAACACCGGGTCCGAGGTGGAGTTCTCCGTCTCGTCGGAAAAGACGCGGTCCTCCGCGTTGGTGGTGAGGGTGACCGTGTTCTCGTTGTACGGGGACGTGGCCTCAACCGCGTTGATTAGGTCCTGATCCCAGAAGATCTGTCCGATATGAGCGACAGTGCCCCCGGTGATCGTGTTGTTCTCCTGTACTGTCACATCCAGGTGAGCCACCATGTGGTGGTGGGTGGTGCGGCCGGAGTAGTGCCCCGGGAAGAGGGTGTTGAAGGTGACGACGCCGTCAGAGTCGGTCTTCTGGATACCCCGGAGGAAGGTCGCGTTGAGGTTGGAGGTGTCGGCAGTGTTTCCGTTGCCAGTGGCGACCAGGCCGGAGTAGACGCCTGTGGCGTTGCAGTTCCAGATGTCCCAGTACAGGTCGGTGATGGGCTCACAGGTCTCGACGTCGACAAACTGGCCCTCGATGGTCACAGGCACACCAGGCTGGCTCTCGCGAAGGTCCGCGCGGACGTATTCGCCTGGAACGTAGTAAGGGCCCGTCTCGCCCTCGGGGTTGAGAACGCAGCTGCTGCTACTGCCAAAGATTTCGCTCTCGGAGGAGTCGGCAGTGATGCCATTGCCGGTCTCATTGTGGTTGGTGGCGAGAACCGAGGAGGTATCCCGCGCAGCGAGACGCTTGCGGTGCGAGTCGACCAGGGCCCTACGGCGAACCTCTGCACGGGCGTTCAATCCGCTGCTCTCGAATCGAGCGGCGCACTTCTCGAGCCCGCGTCGCATGTTGGCCTTGAATTCCAGAAGCTCGGAAGCAGCACGCTTCTCTTCGTGGCCAGGATGGGCGGCAGCCAGGACCGCACCTCCAGCAATGGCCAAGCTGGCAACGTTCTTGAAATGCATTTTGGGAAGTTGAACAAAAGTGCGAGGAGGTCACTAAGGAAAGGACTATGTCTATAAGACGAAGAGGAGGAATTTGCCACTGATAGAGTGAGATTTGCTGCTTGTCATTTCGTCTTCTGCATCGGCTTGCACACCTCTTATATAGGTTTAATCGCCATATTGAGATTTGGATCAAGAGCTTGCTGCAGTCCAGCTTCATCACACCGTCTGGCTACATCGCAATCGCTGTGCGGAACCAATTCCTTGATCAAAGCGACACTATACCAAGAGGCTGCAAAAGTCTCTAACAAAAGACAGCCGGCGGGATGAAGGCGTATGCACCCCTGCTGCTTTTTCTGGTGTTGATTGGTGACATTTCCGAGGAATTCGCTAGATTTGATGCAATATACTGGACGCAATGACTGATGACGAGTCCCTCCCACATGCCAAGACATAAGGCCGTGGGGACCCTGCAATGAAGCTCACCTGCCAAGAACCACCAAGAAACATCCTAGCGATATCACTTGCCCGGGCGACGCGTATTATTAGTTTTGATCAGGGTGTGATTGGCTGTCTCTCGTCTGACGAGTGTGAAGATCTGCACTCTAGATGGGGTCCCGGCTCCATCTTTATCCGCCGTCTATCAAACACAGCCGTTGTATGCCCTCAACCCTGGAGTTATTGGAGGCGGTGGCAGTAGCCCAGGACTAGGCAAACACACGGAGGATCATCCGCCGCCTGGGCAGGATGGCTGAGGACTGGCCTATTCCTAGGCATCGGCTGGTGTGCTGCTGAGGTTGTGCTGCGCAATGACAGCCCTGGGTTTTGAGACATGGTCACCAGCCCTTAAAGCGACGATACATCAACGTCCGTGACGGCTTTCATAGTAGTGAAAGCTGGACCTGCACTTTGCGTGCGGGCCACATGACTGAAGGTCGGGGTATCTGTGAGTAGCGCACCTGTGAAATGCGGCACCTGGTATGGTATCCTAATGGGGACAAATCCCGCTTCGATCGAGTACGGGATCTCGGTCCTTGAGGTTGACGGACGGCGGTGCCGATCATATATTTTGCCAAGCATATACCATCAACATTCCCCACGAATACACTCAAAGGACTCGGGTGGCGGATGTTTGGGGAGATTTGGCACGGCATTAGGGAGGCACGGGATCAAATTCGGCCAATTGATTGCACCAAAGAGCGCCTCCTCGGCCTGAAACCGACGACTTTCAGGACTACGCGAAAGCGGGGACGAGTATGCAAGTGCGGAATATCTTGTGGGACGTAAGCATTGAGCGCTGCACATGTTTGATCGCTTGCGTGCGAAAAAATGACGCTGCCATCAAACGGGGTCCCGGACGCGTGGTGGCCAAGCCTTAGGACAGGGGTCAGGTCTAGACAAGTCAGTAACCCTAGGACAGACGCGTATGATACTTTAGAGGACGAGGGGGCATTGGACAGGAATGCCCGGTTCATATGGAGAATTGTCCGGAGCGACGGAGAAATGAACGCTGTCAAGTCAACATGTCTGGACATCAACACAGATGGGACAGATGAGAGGGGGCCAAAAATCAATTAGTCTGTCACAGTCATCGTGATAGCTGCTAGTTCGATGTTGCGGGGTACTTGGGGTGTTGTGGTGACGGTGGCAATAGGAACATGCTTAAGACTCTAACGAGATACCGAGCTATTGTCGCTTGGTGAGAGACGAGAAGTGATGAGTGGTGGGTGGGGTGGTGAGGTAGTGAGGAGGAGCAGTGGGTATTCGTAGCTTTGGTTGGTGCTTCAGGACGTGGTTCTAGTAAGTTACCCTGTTAGCTTGCCTCTTAAGAAGGCGAACTCGCGGATAACAGTAGCTACGAGTAGCCACCGATATCCCATTTCCTCCCAGTGTTTCTCCCCAGTGCAGCTCTGATTACGTCAATCAGGCTAGTCTATATGTCTCTTACTGATGTGCTGATGACCGAGAATCCTCAATGCTGTACACTGACTATGAGTACGAGTCAATATGTGATGCCGATCAAGAGTGGGAAGCTTGTTGCCTCAAGGTCGATTCCTCTGCGCAATGGCTATCGTCCATGCACTCTGTAAGTACCACAACCTAGCGTACTACTTATGAGGAGATGCCTTGTGCTAACCCACTAAGTTATTGAACAAGCATCTTCGCTAGAGAGCAATCAATCGACATCGTTTGCTCAAAGACTAATAATGCCCGCCTAGATACGACTTCGAAGAATATCTCAATTCAACGGAGCAGTGGCTCAGTATTTCTCTACATAATTTCCTTTTGTTCTGCTCACCTTGATTGTTTGTTGATGCCTGTAAGGCATCTCACAGTGAAACTAATGCCTGGCTGGCCGTCCTTTCAAGCGACCAGTAGAGGGGAAAGACAACCGCTTTCACTTATGCGTGGGTGTCAGGCCTGGTGAAGCCTGTTTCAAAGCTTCGAGCAACAGCCGATCGTATTTCTCTTGATCTTTCACCTTTTCCCGAATGAACCTAGTTGCATTGAATGTCCAGTAATCCATAGTAATCTTGAAAAATGCTGCATCGTTTATATGATCCTTCAAGAATCGTGGCTGAATATGGTCGTAAAAGATCCGAAAAAGCCCAGTGGGGCTATCGAGTGCAAGAGCATACCAGAATGTGCCTTTGTTCCAGCCTTCTTGGAGTATAAGTAGAACTGGTTCCCATGTTGCCATGAGCGCTTCGATATTTGTTCCGCAAAAGCCTGCATGAATTCGCTATGCAGGCTCTCGTATGCGTCAGAATCAATCCCATCGACAGATTGGTTGGACAACCAATACGGCGGATGGATCATTTCTGCTGGACGAGAACAAGCCCATTCAAGATCAACTAGGTTCGTGATATTCCAGTCATCATCGACAAAGATATTGCTTTGATGTAGATCCGTCAAGCTCATATAAAACGGGCCTCGGCGGAGATCGGGACGGAAGAATAAGTTTCGAACAGCTCTCATCACTGTGAGACCAGCCATCTGGAACAAGGTGTCTTGAAAGTCATTGACTGCATTCAGTTGATGATGAAGGCGACTCTCATGAAAGGCAAGGATGTCACTGACATAGGAGTCAACGGTGGAATATGTAAAGTCGCGCGGGATATCGACCGGAACGTGCTGATTCTCCAGGTCCTGAATCTCGAAAGTAAGAGGTCTGTTCCTGAGCCTTAGATAACCCTTTTCATCCACGATGAAAGCACCAATTCTGGGTAGAGGAGTACGTGTACTGGCCAACATGATATCAGACAAGCTGCGGAAGAGGTTCATCCGTAATCTAGGATTATGCCGCCCTTGATCCCATGACGCAGACAGCATCCTACCCCTTGACATATTAATGTAGTCAATTAAGAGATATCCGACTCCTAAGGAGTCTCTCGATTTGTTGCTGTGAGGCACATATTTGGATGGGACTGGGAATCCCAAAAATCTTAGAATATGACGGCGGAGGACTTCGACTGAACGAGTCAAGAAAGGCAGGTTTTCGAGAGCAGTAAACTAATCCTTAGCAGAAGCCACCCCGATGAGAAGAGGTGCACCTACCTTCTGGCCCGTTGATAACCCGTATCCATGTAGTTGCGGAATGGGGACTTCTGGGCAATCATGCTGGAGCCAGGTGTAGGTACCAACTTCACATAGAATTTTCTCATCAGCGTTCCCTGGGTTGACGTTCTCTCCAACCCTGTGTGGCAGCGGAAAACGAAGTAGAAAGCTGGGGCGCCGCCGATTGTTTTCAACATAGATTGGGATGCAAACATTGAACGACCCAGAAAACCATTCGCTTGGTTCGGCGATGCGGCAGCTCGTCGGAACCAAATTGAGATGGTGTGCGACCACAGTCTCAAGAAGATGGCTCTTTCGGCGCAAGTCTCCGAAATAGCTATTCTGCTGATCCCAATAGCTCAACGAGTGCAATACATTGGTTTCAAGTTCTTTGGCTGCAGAGTAGGTAATCTCACCACGAAGCAGACGACGAGTTGTTGTGGTTGTAGATGGTGACATGCTATCAAACAGAAAAGATGATGGAACCTTGCCTACCTAGTACTTACCTCAGATCACCTGGCATAGTCATCTTTTCCAACCCAATGAGCCAAGAAGAAAGTTCTGCCTATTTAGGCTATCACGTGTATGACATGTACTTTGTACATGTTCCGGCTCGTTGAAACGACACACCAAGGCTAGATGTTCCTCGACTATTCAACCGTCGGCAGTTTCCAACCCTCACTTTCTACATTCCCATCCGCCATGTAACTCGTCATGATAGTCGTAGGCGCTTGACACGGTGAGTGCTTCTGCTTCTGTGGAGACCGCGGTCGGACAACAAGCTTACATTAACCTGCAGACAACCGGGAGCTCGCCCTTCTACTCCATATATCAACCAAACATGGAGGATATCAGCTTGATCCTTCACAAGCACAGTCCTCGAGGACCCAAAACAAATCATCATCCTCTGTCCGCCACGAGCAACAGATAAAATGAAGGGTGGTGTATACCAAGCACGCCTTTTCCCGCAATTCGCGCCCCCGATTCGTGGTCGTGAGGTTGCACCGACCGCTCCTAAGCGCCCGGGAAGGACAGGACTGCATGGTGCTTGTTTGAAGAACGATTCTTCAGGGGAAAAGAGGGCAGCGACGAGCAAATGAACTGCTTAGAATCCTGCCGGGCGGCTAACAGCCTTCGATGGCCGCTCCTGCAGCCCGCAAAGGGTGGGCATTCAGGGTCCGCTGCATTATTTTTGGCAACCAAGGAACGCTCAGTTGCAGGCACAGACAGAGGCTTTCTCGCGTCGCAACAAGGGAATAAATACCCACTGTCCTCAGGCATCTGATTCTGTTCTTGCTTCTCAAAGAAATCATCTCCTACTTTTCCATTTTCTTTTCTTCGGTGATGAGCCTGACCGGCTTGCTGGCAAGACCGACTTCTGCTTGACGAATTCACGTTCACTTTACTTTGCTGTTTGACATTTGACGCTCACAGAAAGAGCTGTGCCTTCTCTCGCTTCTTCTCTCTGACTCTATCAAATCTCCCCTCCGATCATTTCCCAACCCCAAGCCATGGACTCAGCATCCTCCACCGTGGCCGCCTCCTTCACCTCGACGTCGCACGCTTCCCTCGAGGCGGAGTCCACGTTCCTCACGCGCACTCGCTTCCTCCGCCTCGTCCGCCTGGGGCTGGCGATCCTCATCTTCTGCGTGGCGATCCCCACCATCGCCTGCGAGGCCGTGGCCCTGCACCACTACCGCCAGACCTCGCGCTACAGCCAAGTCTGGCTCTACCTGTGGCCGCTGAACCTCGACCTGCGCCCGGCCAAGGCCCTGCTCGCCTGTGGCAGTGTGATTGCGCTCCAGACCCTCATCTACATCATCGCTGCCCTTCTTCCATCGGTCAGTACACCGTCCTATCCCTACCACAACTATCAGACATAGTACCTGCTAACAAAACAAAAACATCCAGCCCCACTCCCACATCCACCGACTAAACCTCCTCGCCGCAGTCACGGCCCTCTCGGGCTTCATCACGGCTCTCGTGGGGTTCGTGTTCGTGATCTACCGCCCCGGCGCGAGTGGCCGCAACGGGTTCCACGATACCGAGACCCTCCATTCTTGGACTTGCAAGTGGAAGGCGTCTTCTTCCAGTAGTACTAGTAGCAGTAACGTCCCTGCGCATTTCGCCCGGGACTGCGCGGTGACGCATGCCTCATTTGTGTTGCTGGGGGTGTTGATCGGGCTGGAGATTGTGATGGGCGTCGTCGCGACGGCGGGACTGTGGCTGGAGCGGAATGTGTCGCGGCAGCGGGTGACGGAGAAGCCTTCGTTGGAGATGGTGGGCATGGTGGATACCAAGGTTGATCGGTATCCGGGGACTTGAGGAGGGTGGTTTTGGGCTGTACGACGAATGATGTTGATGTTGATGATGGATTATGATGAATGGGGTTACCTCACACACGGGCTTTTGTGGGAATGCATGTATAGCTTCATGGTTTTGGGGCCGGGTGGGATATAGTAAATGCTCGTTGGATGTAGGTATGTATGTGCTAGTCCGACATTAACACTTTACATCTCTGATGTAGTCTTCCAAACTCCATTCTCCTGTTCTCTCAGCTGGTAAGCCAATATCGGCTTCAAAGCTCCTTGGATACTGCAAATCTCAAGCCCACACATTTGAGCGAGAGTATGAACGAATCCGTCTGTTATAAGCAAACGGTCATAGTTTAGATGCAGTGCTCCTGCTCTTCGCACTATCCATCCTCATCCCCTCGTCGTCCTGCTCCTCCACCTCCAGCACCGGCAACTTCTTCGGCATCATCCGCCGGGGATTGGTGCCCGGCACGACGGAGTATTTGGAGAAGTCCGTGACACCGCAGTGATCGCGCAGGAAGTCCTCATCCAGCGCGAGCATACCATTGACGATATGAGGTGGAGCCTTCAAGATCCCGAGGATCGCATCGGAGAAGATAGTCTGGTGATGGTTCGTCAGCATACCACACAACCTCGAATGCCAAAATCCGAGCCATGGCAAGAGGAGGGAGGACCTGGGTAGCTCACCGGTTTCCTAAGATCGGCTTTCGAGCGTGATTCATCGTTCCCTGCGGGATTCATCTCCGTAGCAGCCGATTGAACAGCCTGAATTCCGAACATCAGCATCAGCGTCATTACCCCTACAATCCCCATCATTTGCCTCGAGAAAACTGGAAAACCATACCGCAGCAGGCCAAATACTCGTAACAGCCATCTCCGTCTTCCCCTCCCTCACAAAATCCATCGCCAACCCGCGCGTCAACACACTCATCCCAACCTTTCCTGTTCAAAATTAGTTATGTAATCCCACCTCAAGCCCCCCCTCCAGCCCCAAAAGTAAGAAAGAGTCCCATACCAATCGCATACCCGGTCTTCCCCCTAAAGAACCGCGAATACACCGGCGGCGAGACCACCACAATGCGGCCGCGGTTGCCATTCCGCTCGAACACCGGCAGCACCGCCTGCACGGTCGCATACAGCCCCTCCGGGTTGACCTGCTGCATCAGCCGGAACCGCTTGACGGGGGTGTTCCGCACGGACGACCACCAGATCGCGCCCGAGTTGTACACCACCACGTCCAGCCGGCCGCCGGTTATCCGGAGGGTTTGTGCAACTAAATCGTCGATCTGGGCCGGGAAGCGCACGTCGACGGGGATCGGGTAGGCGGTGTTGGGGGTGAGGAGGTTGATCTCCTGGGCGACGGTTGTGATGGTTGAGGCGGGGGAGTTGGGGTCCGGGGGGAATTGTTCTGGATTGGTGGTGGTGGAGGTGGATTTGGCGGCGATGATTACTGGTGTTTGTGACCCGGTTAGTTGAAGTTGGAAGGTGATGGCCTGGAGGTTCTTGAGTGTAACTGCAACTTACCGGTGTAGTTGTTCTTCGCGAGGTCGATGGCGATTTGTCGGCCTATGCCTCGCGAAGCGCCTATGATCAGGGCGACGGGCTTGTTGGGGGATGCCATTGCTTGGTCTTGCGGGGTGTAATTGTAACGAGTAGCTTGGCTATTTTAGGATGATGGGTCATCGTCATCAAGGTTCCTTATATGCTAGGTCTGTCGATCCATGTCATTGTCATCCTCGGCTGAGAGATTATGATTAGTCGTCGTTCGTCATGGCCGAGTCCTGAGATTCGGTGGCATACAGGGTTCGGGGTTGAGACTTGCATATGATCGAATTGCCAAAGAAAGCTCCTTTGGAGAGTTCAAAGAGACATGTTCAGCCACATACAGAAAAATATAATCCCCACAGTTTGAAGTCGTAGCATGTTCATGATGGAGACTCAATCTACTAAAGGCTTATCACGATAAGGGACGAAGTAGCCTCGGCTCCCCGACCTTGAATATGATTGGCTGATACACTTACATAATCATCCACCTCCGTGTTATCGCTCACCGCCCGGCAGAACTACACCTTTTCATGCTCCAGCTTCCCGTCTCCTTCTCCGCGCTGAAGCTTGTGAACGGACTTTATCCCACACGCATTTGCTGACTCGATCTACGGCGTAACCTCATCATGGCGCCCGACGCAGAGCCCACCGCGGCAGCAGCCGATCTAATTATCGATGAAGATGAGTACAACTCCGACTCGGACTCGGACTTCCAACTCGACGACGATTTCGCCGCCCAGAACGACGACGATGCCGGTCTGACCTCGTCGGATGAGGAGGACAACGACGCGGCAGCAGCAGCAGCAGCAGCAGCAGATGGCCAACCCCAGGCGAAGCGGCGGAAGACCACCACAACCACCCAGGATCCCGCTGCGACTGGGGAGTTAGATTCCGGCGACGAGGCTACGATCCACAAAGACAAGGCGAAGCGGAAGACTGAAGACGATGAGGAGGAAGAGGGAGGCACCGGGGGCTTTGTCCGTACGCGGGCTATGAAGATGCGCGCGTATGTTTTTAGTCTTTCTTCACATCTTAGAGACTGTTGGTCATAGGTTTGTGCTAATCTATATGTTGGCATGCTTCTAGGCAAGACGAACGCAAACCCCTCGCCAAGATCGACGGTGCGACCGTGGACGTGGATGCGCTCTGGGCGATGATGAATGCACCGGAGAACAACAACGGGCTGCACGCGGGCAGCAGCAGCAGCAGCAGCGGGAAGAACGACGACAACGCACCAACGACACAGAACGGCGACGTGGAGATGCAAGAATCCTCCACCGAAACAGAACAATCAAAACAGCAGCAGAAACCATCGAAATACGCCGAGGAGATGATCAAGATCAAGCGCACCTACGAGTTCGCAGGGGAGATGATCACGGAGGAGAAGATCGTCCTGAAAGACTCGGCCGAGGCGAAGCTGTACCTCGCCAACAATGGCGATGCGAATGTCGAGACAGTCATCACGGCGGCGGTGGACGATGCAACTGCCACCACCACCACCACCGAGGATGTGGCGATCAAGCTACGGAGGCCGCTGCGCCGGGTCTCGCGGTTCGACCCCAACCCGACCGGGGCGATCAAGAAGAGCTGGGAGAAGCAGCCGGCCGCCGAAATCACTGGGCAGGACGAGAACGCCCGGGGCCCGAAGATCAACACGGTCGAGAAGTCGCGGATGGACTGGGCCGCGTATGTCGATAGTGCGGGTCTCAAGGATGAGCTCAAGGTGCACAGCAAGGCCAAGGAGGGCTTCCATGGCCGCATGGAGTTCCTGGACCGTGTGGGTGCGAACATCGAGGAGGAGAGGCGGAATGCGCGTCTGAAGGGACTGTGAACAAGGGATAACCGCACCGCTTCTTCTTTCTCGTTGCATACAAATTGCAACCTCCTCCAGTATCCTCTGGGACGGCCAATCAGAATCAGCATGTTCGACACGCGCACTCTAATGCCTATGTTGATATTGCTGTCGGATTCCCCGTCTACGGCATCGGAAGACCGACTAGCTAGCTGCTTTCACAGGCACCGATCGCTTACAATTTGTGTGCGTGTAAGCGATCAGACTGGTGGACGAACCATCTTGCCTGCGCATAAATCTACGCCCGCGGTGAAGAAACTCCCAGACCCACTACGCCATGTCAGTCTATTGACATGGCCCCATGCACTTCGCTTATGAAGCAAGAGAACTCGATTGGACCGGATACATACCTCGCATATGAGGTTTGATGAACGTTGCCAGCCGCCCACAGCACGCTGTGGAACCCATTATGGTCTTGACAAAACACCCCATCACCAGCGGCCGACTGGCAAGCGGCTTTCCGTCCAATGAGACTACACAAAACGCACATGTGTCTAAATCACAGATGGACAAAACTACCTAGGAACATTAAACGGGTTTCCTTGCTCATATAGATGATGTGGACTCGCGCCATATAGCTCTTCCGGGTGTGTTCCATCAACCAGTTTTAGGACACACTAGTGGTAGCATGTACATACAATAAAGCACCCACGAAACTTTTTACAGCCCCTAACCCACTCACTCCCTTTTTCTTCATCAACAAACATTGTTCCACGATGTAGTCTTGGGATCACACCACCCCTCTGGTTCTACGCAAGCTGTTTAGCTCGACTTGGGCAGATACTTGATCCCCGAGCTGGGGCAGTTGCTGGTCTCCACTAGAACAATAGAAACCCATTGATCAGCATTTAGTTTTCTCTGGGAGGGGTGGGGGTCTAAAGGCTGTTCGTCAGGGAGAATCCTCAACTTACATCTCTCGGCCGCAACATAAGTTCCGTCGATCGCATTACCCGCGACGTTGAAGTAGTAATAGAGCTGGGACAGTTCCTTGCTACTGCAGTAGACGTAGGGGGCGTAGCCGTCGTGGATGGCAGCAAGGGCGTCCTCGATGTCGCTCAGCTTGTAGGTCTTGCTCGAGCTGGGGGTGATGCCCGCGTCGGCGAGAGCCTTTTGTTACTGGTTAGCTTGTCTCGATTTTTCCGTGGGATGCCCGAACCAGATGGGCCGGGGGGGATGCGGGGCAGAAACGCACAGTGTAGGAGTCCAGGGTCTTGAAGAGCGAGACGGTCTTGTCAAAGAAGTCGCCGACCTCCTCTTGAGCGGTGTAGTCGGTGTAGCAGCTGGGGTCGATGGTGTTGATGCAGGTTCCTACGCAGTAAAAGTTAGTTGAGTTTTGAGGGAAAGCTCGGGGGTCTCATAAGTATGCCCGGACTGAGAAGCGTACGTACCGTGCTTGGCCCACTCATGCTCCCAGAATTCTTCGTTGCTCTCATCGTCGCTCTGCCAGTAAGTGTCCATGTACTCGAGCAGCTCGGTGCGGCCCTGTGCTTCGAGGATTTCCGTGATGTTGGTGTACGCGCGCGAGGCGTCGCAGTTCGATTGGTAGGTGCCGTCGCAGTTGTCGGGCCTGGAGTTCGGTTGCTGTCAGCCAATCCGTGAAGTCTTTCAATGGGCAGTGGGGAAAGAGTGGGCGTACCAGAGACCGTGGATGGTCCAGGAGTCACTGGGGCCGGTGACAGGGTCAGTGTCCCAGAATTGGGTCTGGAGAAGGGAGCCACCAGGGTATTCGAAGCAGCAGGAAGCCTCGTTGTCGGTCTGACAGCTGAGAGGGCTGTCGGAGGAGCAGGTGTCAATGGTAGCCAGGACACCGGAGCTGAGCGCACTCAGGGCGAAAACACCCATGGCGGGCAGAAGAGACATTTGAGGCATCGTGCTGGATTTGAAAGCGAGTAAGGGTGGTGTGGAAAGCTACTGAGCGACCTGCGGATAAATAGACAAATAAAACAAGATGCTATAGCAGACAACAACGAGAGGAGTTGGCGCTACTTATACGCCGGTGATGGACAATTGTCCCGCCTGCCTCGCTCATGCCGCATACCCCTCGGCTGTGGTGGAGAGTCTCTCTCTCTGCATCGTGATGAGGGCTGATAGCAACATGTGCTGATAAGGAATTGCTGATTCGCCAGGTCCGACTGATAATTGGGTCGGGGGTCGGACGATGCTGTAAGGACCCGCAGGGGGACTGGGGGTTTGTGGACGATGAATGGCCAATTGAGCGCGACAGCGTCATTCTGCAGCCGGGGACTAGATGAAGCTACGACGGGACTCCTTCGGAGGAGAAGCAATGAGAGCAGAAGCCAAACAATCGATAAAGGTTGGTCAAAGTAGTGTGCATTAGGATGGGTTGCATTGCTCTTCCCGTCGGGGCAGCTGGCGATCTGATTCGCTGTGGAGGGAAGATCTTCAGCTTCTAAGGACCGGTTTAATTTGGAGAACTCCATCTGTTCATCAACCAGGCTGGGCGAATGGACTTGGAGAAGCCATGTTGGGTGATGCAGTGTCAACACCTGCTGCCAATCACTTGCGATGTGCGATTTTGATGGAAGCTCGCGGGCAGGCCCAGCACGGAGTAGATAATCTCAGTGGATGTCTGCGTAAATTAAAAGCTGTCTATTCATCCCTGCAGAGGTGTATAGAGCACGATAACAAGGCATTGACTTGGCATCGGAGCTCCCCGCTCATGTCTTGTCGATAATATTCTGGTGTGTCGGAGCATGCCATGACAATAGATTGATCGAAGGTGAGAGAGGTATCGAGCGATAAGGCCGAAGAGCCATTGTAGATAGAGCCCGTCAACTAGCAATCGACACATGGCGACCTCGGACCCTGATAGCCAGATGATGTGGGACGCATGCTGCTCCTGTGTATCGCACAGAGTCGAGTGCCGTAGCTTTGAAAGTGATCTAGATGGCATCGAACCGTCGAGTCGCGGCAAACCAGATGGAAGAGAATCGCGGAGTAGAAGAAGAGAAGAGACTCACTCGATGCTCGGCCCGCACTGCAGTAGAGAAACAATATCTCAGCCTAAGGCACCGACAATACCAACAATTTTGAGTCACCGTAGCGCACGCCCTACACCAGACATCGGATAGAAGAGAAAATAAAAGACTGAATGAGCCATTGTTTACATGCCAGATCAATGCAACCAGACAATCAAGACATCCTCTACCAGATACCTGTTCATCATTCATCAATTATCCCCCCCCAAAGCACAACGATGATATCCTCAACGTCGAACCGCAGCCCCCGGCTCCCCTACCGCATCATCCCCGCCCACACCCCCGAGCATCTCTCCGCCATCCGCTCGCTCTTCCGCGCCTACGTCCAATGGCTGAACATCGATCTCACCTTCCAGGACTTCGAGACCGAGCTCAACTCCCTTCCGGGTAAATACGGGGCCGCGTCCGGAGGAGACCTTCTCCTGGCCTACAGCAGCAGCAGCACCGAAGAGCACAACATTCCTCTGGGCTGCGTAGCTCTCCGTCCCCTTACTCTACGATCATATACTATAGAGCCTAGTCATGACGATGGTGACGATAGACCGGAAGTCAAGTACTGTGAGATGAAAAGGCTGTATGTCTCCCCAGAGGCACGGAGGATGGGGTTGGGGAAGGCGTTGGTGCAGGCGGTGGTGCAGAGGGCCAGGGAGCTGGGGTATCAGGCCATGCGACTCGACACGCTGCGGACCATGGAGGGGCCGTTGAGGTTGTATCGGGCGGCGGGGTTTGTGGACATCGGACCGTATTATGAGACGCCTTTGGTGGAGGAGACGGTGTTTTTGGGGTTGGATTTGAGGGGGACGGAGTGATGGCAGAGTGTAGATTGTGGGTGCGCGGTGGTGGTGGTGGTGGTGGTTGTTGTTGTCCTCTGCGAATTGGCGGAGTCCGACCGCCGAGGTTGGCTTCTTACTCAGTGAACAGTCTCAATAGGAAGCAAGAGAAAGGGCACGAAATACCTATTTATGCATTTCCTACGAAGAAAAGATAACTGCGTGAAAAAGACCAACAACGCACAGACATATCTTGTCGTTCTCTGAATCTCCAACAACACATACAAGTACGTATCGACCGCCGACTAGCTACTTGTCCTCTCCGAACTCAGACTGTTGAGCTTGATATTTTGGAATGGAGCACTCATAGCAGACATCTTAAGCCTGCATCATGCTGAAGAGAAAGAGTCATCATAGTTCGAGAAGCCAATCGAGTCCACATCAACCATCTCTATCCATAGATAATCGAGGTACCATAGCCAAAGGTGACCATTGAACCCGGGTTCGCCCCGTGTGGAGTTGAACCATCCAGACTACCGCCCCGCAGTGCCCATTCGCCCGCTCTACCAACATCAAAGTAGAGGGTTGAGGGTCAGGGGCAGTGGTAGTCATGGGTCGACCATTGTCCGCGGGTCTCATTGCGGAAGCACAACGATTGCAACCAAGAGAGGAAGAAAACAAAAGGACGAAGGAATTCGCGCAGATGGAGAAGTGGTTTAAATCGTACGATCTGAGGTAAGCAGGTTTGGCGTGTTGGTCTGTGCTGCGCGCGGCCTGCTTAGTGATGAGGTCAGAGGATCACCTGTCTGCCTAAGGCATAAACTGACTACTATACATGGATTGCATGTGAGCTGTCACGGGTCACAACATCCCAGGACGGTCGTTCACACAAATGAAAAAAATCCTCCCAAAAGGCTCGAAATACTGCTTTGAGGCTGCATTGATTCCATTAAACTGACTCGCAAGCCTGGTGCCACAATTCACATCCGGTCTCATCCCATTGTCTTCGCAGAGGTAATTATTACCTGTATGCCACACTGCCGTTCTATGAGGCAGATTGTAAAGGGGAGAGACTCGATGGAAGTAGAACTAGCAGGTCAAACCAAGGCAGTTGCTACGCTAAGGCACATACTACTCATTTTGAATTAGATAGTCCGATATACTGAGAGCCACCTGAGATGACGATGCCATGGCAGGCTTGCAGATTCTCCGTGAGTGGGGAAGGGAACTAGTTAGTGCTTCAACAGACGCGCGCACTATGGTCTGACCGAGTACGTAGACTGACTGCGTTGTCTATTTGTAGAGGCGTACATAGTTTGGTGGGTGCCTTCTGACTAATGGATGTCGAGAAGGACGAACGGTGCTGTTTGTAGATCGTGCAATGGGAGAGTGCATGGAAAAAGACCCCCGGGAATCCCCGGTGATCGACAGCTAGCAACAAAGCCCGGATTATGGTAACTCAGACAGGAAAAGATTTTTTGGGATTGGCATGTGCAGTCGCGCAATACTACGGTCTCGTAGAGGAGAGAGGAGGCTAGCTGGGATCCAGTCCAGTCCAATGTAGATAGGGCAGGCGACCATAACTAATGGCTGCTGTGGTTTCTCGATCTAGGAGCTGCACGTGAGCATATGAGGTTGTCTCACCCATGTATACAGCAACCACGCTTGAGTTGAATTTCCATGCACAGCGCGGGATTACAGGCCCAATCGACCTGCGAACTTGTGTAGGCAAAGCCATGTACGACAGTGATTCCTTGACCAGAAAGACTATCTATGAGTTCGTAAGCTCGGTGAGATGCTCGTTGCATCAGCAATTCTAACGAGCCCTAGTAGACCAAGTTATACCTGGAACTCGATAGGCATAGGGACCACAGAGCCGGAAGGGGGAAAATAAGTGGCAGTGGCGACACTGAGGATATGTGGATCACGCGGTCATCGCGCTACAAAATGCATGAGCGGAAAGAATGGCACGGAGATCGCCCATGGCGTGTTCGAAGAGGCATCTAAAGCAATAACCACCCCGCTCACACCACCACTCAATCTGAGGGCGTGTAGTTTTTGAGGTAGTATCTAAAGGTTTTAGATGGATGGTGGCTCTGGGATACCACCTAGTACTTTGAGTCTGATCTGATGCAGGAGCTCTCTTGAAAGAAGTGAGGCTGATGGGAAAAAGTCCCGTGGCATTTCTCATCTGTGTTGGCGCATGCCTGAGCAGTAGGTAGTAGACAAGCCCACAAACATTGCCCAGGTACATACATAGATGAGTACATCGCACGCTGAAATCTTCTTGGAACGCCAACCTTGGCACAGCTTGTATAATTCAAGAGCTCCCGAGCTGTATGCAAACTAGTCGAAATTGGGGCGGGCCCTGCAGAACACGCATGCGCATATGGCTCTCCCATCCAACACCGTTCATGCCAAGGCCAGCTCCCGATGGCCGGCATGGCCTCTTAAAGTAAGTCGCCAATCTGGACAGGACGGTTCTGCTGCACCAATCCACATTTGGTGACACGATCTCACACCTCCACAGGGGCAGGGGTTGGATTCCATTCCACATGCACCTTAACACATGCACCTTAAGTATCAGTTCCCGAAGACTGAAAGTTCGCGTAGTGAAGGGTAGCCTTTACCCTTCCCTTGGATTGTACAATACCCAGGTCTGAACTTGACGCGTCATGGGCTAGAAGCCAAGCCCAGGGCCACGTACCAGGAATTGGTACTTGGCACTTTGGACACTAGGATCCTGCTGGCACTCAGCTAACATGAAGTACATTACAGGTACTTTCCTAGAGGCTACAGAATACCCAGAGCAGAGATGTACTTCATAGCACAAATTCGATATCCGCCGGTTCGCGAGACCGAGGCAGTCGAGCGTTATTCTCGACTTGCAAAGAATTACCAATCGAGTATGACTTCTGCCAGAGTACATCACACGTTGAATGCTGCTGTAGCTTTATCGAAACGAACGGAAGCCGAACTGCATGTATATGACTTCTTATGGACGCTTACCTTCAACCTGATTCCATGATTGGTCATCAAGGGTCAATGTCACGAAGGCCTGTCACGCAAACTGCTTGGAGCTGGACCGATCTGTGTAGCTGATCTCGCTTTGCCACGTGCAACACTTGAACGATTGTCTAGGGAGTTGGTAAGTCGAGAAGACTTGAAGCTTGGGTTTGAGAACAGACGAGCTAGTCTTTGATGCTAGTCAGCTGTATTGGAAAGCACGCGTTGTAGATCGAGCCGTGTAAACGGAGCTTGTATCATCGGTAGTGATAGGCATCTAGTGGTTTGCTGGGCCTCTGTGAAAATGGACATAGAAAGCAGTCTGAATTCCCGCAGTGTCGCCCACGGACAGAGCGATAGTCCAAAGGGGAAAGATGAGTGCATATTAATAGACGGTATGTTCCACCACATGGACCCCGAGATATCCATCGAATTCAGCGTGTATCTCTCCCGATCGAATGGTAAGACCGGACGGCAGAGAGTCGATTAGCGGTGTGCCGTGGCCCAGTAATCTGGGACGAATCGGGGAAAAAGAGTCAGATGCCAGCATTCCGTGCGACCTACCCCATGGAGGCGGAGATATGTGCTGCTGTAAGCACCATAAATAAATGTCCAGGGAGACGAATCCAATATCTTCAGGTCGCAGACCTCGATAACCACGGGACTTGGCATGTGGGACTATTGTTTTGTGGGCTTTAGAGGCTTGAGGTCATCCCGGTTGCTGGAACCAAGAGTGGGGAGAAGGAAGCCGAGAGATAATCGAGGCAGTGCAAAAGTAAAAAAAGGAAGAAAAGAAAAAGTGATGCGGGGATGGGGAGTTGAGGACGGAAAAAGGAGAATGATTGATTGTGTTTGTGTCTGAGAGCAAGTACAGTACTCCGTACTATCTAGTACGTACTGTCAGTATGTGACGAGCCATCGGGAAGATCTGGCATTTCCATTGCAGTGGAGCAGTTGCTTTGAGTATGAGTACTCGAGAGCCTGGAGATACTCCGTACTACGTACATACATAAGTAGTACGCTCTGGGTTCCACACCTGGCAGTGGATGTGTTTGTCTGTTTTGAGTCTAGACTGCCTGAGGTATCGGTAAGATAGAACAGATCCATGGGAAGCGGCAGACCTTCCGCCAATAGGGAATCTGCCATTGTGAGTGGAAATGTGGGCAAGTGGAGAGACAGGGCCATCACTGAATGTACACATCTCCACCTTTTTTTCAACTAAACAAACTAAATGTTTTTGACATGATACATCCACCCATGGATCCCCAATTCTACACAAATCCATCCTTTTTGCTTCCCCTGGACACGACGGGCTGTCATTCTGAGACAGACTTTACCTCGGCCCGATCTTGCTAGCCCCACGCCTGGGCTAAGTTGATGTGTTCCAGCTCATCCAACGGACTCTTTAGAAACCACGCTGAGCCATCGAATCTCCACTTGATAGTACATTGTATGGGGGGTCAGAACCTCCAAGAGAGAAGAAAAAAAGTAAAAGTAAAAAGAAAGTCAAGATTTGATCCATCATAATACAAGACAAAGGAAAAGGTTACTGCATCAGACCTGACAGAAAAAAAAATAGCTCTTTCATCCCTTCGTTCTCTTTCCACTGGCGTTCCATAGTTTTCCTTCGGGCTTCCATCCACAGTCTATCGGTTATTAGCTCCTATAAGGGTGTCCAGTAGTCAATCAGATCAATCAGATCACGCATAGCAGACAAACAGCGGTCACTTGAAGTGTACAAAACTTTCCCATGCTTTTCAGCGTTCAATGCATTATTATTCGATATAGGGATAAGCCTCCTCAGCTTTCCAAAGACACATTTTTTGGGAAATGGATGGAGAAATGAAAGAGGGATAGGAAACGAACTTTGAAGAAAAGGAAAAGGGATATGCAACATCAAAACCAACAAAGGAAATTATCCGGTGTATATAACCAGGTATGTTTTACAACAAAAACGCCGCGAAGCGCCGACCGGGTCTGCCTGGCCCGGCGTGTCTGTCCCCATCTAAGACCAAAAAGGAGAAATGGCAACCTGTTCGCCAAGGGTATCATGGTTTGGTCCGCCTGTCCTAATCTTCCGCCCGCGTTCAATCGTCCCACTCGACACTCATGTGACGCGTGCCGGGCATGGTCTCGTCATGCTTTTGAGAATAAAGCGGTCGCCCATCAGGGGTAAGCTGACCGCGATACTCTGGGTTGTAGTCGGGACTGTTTTCGTCCAAGGTGGCGACGTAGCGGTTGCGGCCGCCTCGCTTGCTGTGGGTCTTCGTATAATGTGCGTTAAGGTTGTCACTGCGGGAGAATGCGCGATGACACCCAGGGACCCAGCAAACATGGGGCTTCTCCTTGGAGTGGCTCTTCATATGTCTCTTCAGGTGCTCTTGTCTCTTGAAGCGTCCCTTGCACCCGGGCTCTTTGCATTTAAATTGCACCTGCTTGATAATAGATGGTAGGTTCTCCAGGCTCATGCTCTGCTTAGAGGCTTGTTTCCGGGCAGTCTTGCGAGAGGGCTGACGCTGCACTCGAACAAGACCGTCCCGGTAGACGGGTGATTGGCTAAAGTCATCCATGTAGTCCATGCTACCGGACAGTCGAGAGATAGGAGTGTCCGATCCAGAGCCACTACCCAGTGAGCAGGACCGCACTGGAGTGGCTGGGGTGTGTGCCTTGAAGGTACCGAGTGATGCTGGGAATTCCGAGTACGACGGAGGTGGGGTGACCGGGGCAACCTGGGAGGGCGCAATCGTCTGTGGAGCAATCGATTCTGCGGGCGGGGCCATCCAAGGAATCATATTTCCCATTGACATGGAAGTCGGAATCCGTTCATGTTGATGATGGAAGATGGAGCGCGATAGACACGGGTTGGTTGCAGATTCTGGAAGGTATGGTGCATGGTGCTGGCGATAATTCGGGCGAGCCATTGTAGTGTAGTGGTGCATATGCGGAGGGTACGGGAGCCCTTGTACTCCATGCTCGTATGTTTTGGGGGCTTCCGAAGGGATCCAAAATTGTTCAACATTCTCATCATATCCGGACAAGAAGTCGGTCATCGGCATGCGCTCCTGGGGTTCCATGTTGGAGTAAGGCATACCCATCACATCGTTCGACGTCATACTGGCCAAGCGAAATGCACTGCGCATGGGGGTCGATCCGCTGTGCCGCTCGTAGGCCTGACTGGGGAATGATCCGCCCTCGTGCCAGCCAGGGGACTGCAATGACCCGTGACTATAAACACTGGTAGGCGTGGTCTTTGGTGAATCGAGAGGCGAAAAGCTAGTCATGGAAGGGCACTCGTTCGAGCCCAGGGATGTACAATCAACTTCGACGGTTAGGCGATCAGACAAGCTACCCTGGGGTCTCATCTCTTCGTTCTCCTCACGGTGTTTGCGAGGTGGGGCAGGGGGAACTTCGAGTTTGGCACCTGTCCGACGTACTGTTTAGTTTTGGTTGGAACGTCACAAGCTGATGCGGGGAGGTGATTGCAGATGGGAGCTCCACGAAGTTGGGAGAGAACAACAATATAAGGAAGTTGAGGAGTGATGTGTACAGCGTCAGACGCGGGTATATGACACAACAAGCGCGGGTTGGTTGGGTTATTATTAGTATATTAGGGAATGTGGCAAGGTCCGCTGGAAAAGGGTATACAAGTAGTGAACGGCAACGGAGGACCAAGATCGATCAACAAACAACTATCGGCGATCTCAACAAGAGATAGAGAGGGACAGTGAGGATGAGTTCCTTAGAGAGTGATGGATGTGCTGAGCAGGATGCACAAGCAATAGCAAGAATGAAGGAAGGCCAACCTGGGTTGGGAATAGAGCTGAGAAAGAAAGAGAGGGTGCGAGGTTGGGGAATGGAGGAGGACAGGCGAGGTGAAATAAACAAATCTCCCGGTCATATATTGTGAAGGGAACAGAAGAGCCGATCGCACTTACAGTTAGAAGTCATTGCTTAGCTAGTCCCCAAAGGAGTAGCGAGAGAAAGGACCAGAGTCAAAATCAAGAGGCGCGTCGCGTGCCTTTGGAGAGCCTACGCAAGGCCAGGAATGTAGACTATAGAGTTTCTCTAGTAACCGCGACAAGTCCCGCTGGAAGGGGAGAGAAAAGACGTCTTCGATTGGTAGAAACCCGAGTCTCGAGTCAAACCGTTTCCTAGGAGGCGCGATTGTCTCTGGATTAAAAGACAACGAACAAGGTGGAAGTAGACGTAGTAGACGAGAGGAGGGGGATAGACGTGATCACCGCGATGATGACGGAGGGGGGAGGTTGGATGGGGGTGGATAGAGATCGATAAGTCGCCCTGTAGACGCGGTGTTCTCGATCCTGTGTTCGCACGACAAGCGGAAGTAAGTGCGAGAGGGATGGGATTCACGGTCGAGTCGTAGAGGATGAAGCCGAAATGGGTTGTCTGTGTCTCAGTTGCAGCAGAAGGATGTTGTAGTTATAGGAAAAACGGTACAGTCCAGCAAGGGGATAATGGAGACAATTGATTTGGAGACGCAGGTCAAGTGGAAGGGATGTCTTAGGATTATCGATAGAAGCGTAAATTTGTCTAATATTGCACTTGTGTTCCAAGGTCGAAGGGTTGTGCCTGGCGGAGAGGGGGGGAGGGGAGGAAGTGGTGGAGGTTCCTTTGTTGGCAGGGGAAACCGGGGGACGAAAGGACTCAAGTGGGAGGTTAAATCTGTTCTATTATATGACCGAGTTACTGTATTAGGTGAAGGAGCAGAAGAGAGAACAGCGTGCAAGTGTGAGCTTCTTTCCTGTCGCCCCATCCCTCACTTGGAAGAAAAGAGGGAGGGGGGTGGGAAAGATGGTTTAGAATTCTTTGGGGGTAGGAAGTAATTGTTTTTCCTTCGAATTTATTTTTATTGCGAGTTTATTTTCTTTTCGGGATTCGCTGTTATTCCCTTTCCCTGAGTGATGTTATGATTAAGGTATTTACTCTAACAGTTTTTAATTTGATTAATTATTTTTCAAACTACTACGTTGAATCCACACTCGCCTTCCTCATCTTGCTGCCTGATACTTGCTAAGTATGTCAAAATCAATCAATGATTCTAGTTTTAGGTTGAATCTACACTCAAGAGACAAAGAAAACACTCAAAGATTAAAACCAATAATCCTATTATGTGCTAATGGATCCGTTTCCTTGGTTTGCTCTTGTAGTGTAATTTGTCCACATCCACTCCGGAAATCACAATATGATCACAGATCTGGGTGTCTAATTCTGTCCGGTCAAGTGGATCGTCCCATGGCTTGACTGGGTCCGCCTCATGCACCTCGAATCATCACCTCGAGAATGGACAGCAGATCATGATCGTAACAATCTTACTTCAGACTGTATCGATGACCGTAAATTACCTCTGGCAGATGCAATGCACCCGACTCGGGGTTTTCTTCCCCCTCCTCTCTCTCATCTCCCTCGACTGCTGGTATACCGCAGGATGTGGCCGCTGTAATGTAGGCGACTGGGCGAGTGGTCAATCGGGAGATGAGAACCAGATTAGAGTCAGCCAAACAGAGTTCATTGCCAGAAAGTGACAATCAAGCGAAAGAACCAAAACAAAACAAGACTGAGCTAGACGATACTAGAAGAGAAGAGCGAAGAAGAAGAATAACAAAAGAAAAGAAAATGGAGGAATGCATGAGGCGCAGATGTGGGAGGGGAAGAACCACTGATGGAATGTTCGAACGTCAGAGGATCGCGACCACTAAGGGCAGGTTTAGCTTCTGGGGAGAGCCCTGACTAAGTGGTTAGTGGACAGGCAATAAGTTAACTAAAAACTAAACTTTAACGCGGATCATAGAATTGGATCATCGTCCGTCAATCTTCCAGATGCTCGGGATCTCCCCCGGGTAGACTAAAAGTTATCCATCCATACCAGCCATACCTTAGGTTGTTTAGTTGGTCCACTACTCAGTACTCCGTAACTACAGGTCGAGTACAGTAAGTACTGTACTTCCCCCACCGCTTCATTTGCTACCTAGTAGGCACCAACTACCTAGTAAATACTAACCATTCCCCCTCCCCCCCCCGGCATTTCTTAGTTGGCTATCGAAAACTAAGTCTACCTGGACACCGACTATGAACAGCATCCATGACAGATATTCAATTATTACGTGTTTTTCAAATCTTACCTGGATTTTGAAACATTTGTACCACCAGACTCCCCAATCAGCTATGGTAAAGAATACTGGAGGTTTGCTAAAGTCCCTGGAGCCTGGGTCGATCGGCAATTTTGCTGAATCACCATGTGGAGTAGGAGGTTTGCATTTCGGCGTTTCGCACTGGAATCTCTAAGATCGAAATAGTAACTTAGTGTGTTCAAGCACCGATTGAGATTCATGGGGACAGCACCAATGATAGTCGAAATAATCCTGGTAGGCTGGGACAGGGTAAAATAAGCCCCCCCCCCGGCCGCCGCCGCCTCAGTTATCGTCAGTGTTATCTATGTATGCACTGCACATACTGTACATAGTAGTATGAAACTCCACACCGAGAGCCACGATACTACCGTTCCCCTCCCCATTCTTACATGCTGCCAGTGGACATTCGCTTTACCAGCCCTAATGATATTGGCTGCAGTTTCTAGTGCACCGGCCAGGTACGTTCTCGACGCCACAGGTTTCCCAAAGCATCATCGATCGTCTTCTGGTTTCAACGCCACCGTCTAGACCACTGTCAAACCCCTCATAGTCTGAGACTCAGTGAGAGATTATCATACTTTTGTCGAGTGCAAGGCTCTGAGGCACATCAGCAATGAAGGCAGAACGTTTTTTGTCCCCTCCCGGCTAATCCATCCAGGATCCGGCTCCACTCGGTCATATGCATAGTGAGCGTATACCAAAGAAGGAAACCCGCATAGCCGGCGGCGTGCTGTCACCATTCATTGAGTGCTAGCAAACTACATTTTGCCTCACTCTTTCCTCGACTTCAGAACCAAGTTCTGCGAAAAGAGAGAAGGGAGAAGGGAGAAGGGAGAAGGGAGTGCGATTCAAAACTACTATATTGAGCAGAGAAGGGGGAGAATCTGGAGTGAAGAAGAATCAATACCGGACAATTTATTCCCATGCAATCGTCCCCCACACAGCAAGAGGAGCCCGAGGAGACCGAATCCCGTCTCGGGAATTCCCACCGTGGACGGAGATCTTACCCTATCCCACAGAAAATAATAAGCCCATCTGGCTCGGTCGAACCTCATCTAGGTTCTCCGAGGATAGTACTCTCTTTTTTTCTTTTGGTGCAGGACGTTCCCAGCCGCCGGCAGCGGGAGTCTTTCCATCACTCACGTTCAGAATCTAGTTCCCAGGCGTTTGCTTATGTTTGGTCTGTGCGAACCCGGCCTGGATTGCAGATAGGCCCTAACCCTCAGAGAAATTTGAAACCATATCATCGTTTCTTTTTTGCTTTGTCTTGCGGACAGGCAACAAGTTCATTTGACAAGCGTCACCAGCAAGCGAGAGCCAGATTTCGAAGGACCTATCCTACCGACTATACGTACATTACCATTTTTATTGCTGAGCGTGTCCAGATGCTTGCTGTAACCTCATTAGCAAAGAAAAAAAAAACATTGAACCAAACATAGTAAGGTGAGAAACCCTCCCAAGAGCCGTGCGCGGGGGTTGCCCAATGTAGAATGACGGTTGAGCTACTACGAAGTACTAGGACGAGCTATGGCCTCACTCGAACCATGGTTCATCGCGGACATACCCCAAGGTAATCCCCCACCTCTCCCGTCCCTTGTCTGTTTAAGATAAGGAGCCACCGGCCAAAAGGTACTTCGTACTGTATCCCAAACCGGAACACATCCTCGAATTATTTTTGCCGTTTAAGAGGAATTGAGCTCGAGAGCCAGGAGATTCTCAGTAAGCATTATTAGAGAGCGGTATGCTTAACTAACACATTGCTTGGCTGGAAATGAAAGCCGGGCTGGTGCAGGTTCGGAGGCGGTTAAATTATTTTGCAGTCGCGGAATCTGGAGAGTCAGGAAATGGATGCCTCAGACACACACATACACACACACACACACACTCTCTCTCTCTCTCTCTCTCTCTCTCTCTCTCTCTCTCTTACTACGGAGCACCTTTCTTTCTTACCCTCTCTTTTGTACGGAGGTGGAGACTTCAGTCTCACTGACTGGTACGGAGTACTATAGTTAGGGACGGACCAGACAGGGACTAACCCAGTTCGGAGATCGGCTTATCAATTCTCAATGAGGAATGGACCAAGTGGGTGAGTGAGTGAGTGGAGAAGGGGAAGTGCGGCGTGAAGAGCAGCCGACAGGCGCTTTGGCCGGCGATCACTGATCAGACGCACATCATCCTCCCTAAGCCGAACGGGATCGTCCAGTCGCTGGATGCGCAGCCAGACTGAAGTCTGCAGGTTTGAAATTCGGCCATCTTTCACCAGCCGACCAGCCGCACCTATCATAAACTTCCCAGCCTTGCCAGATGCCAGCCGCCACTCGGACCCTTTGCTCAGGAACGCTCCGACAGAACCTGGCCTACCAGCTTCACTCGCTATGGAATGTGGGGAGGTGAGACGATATCCTTTAAGCCCCAATAAAGGCAGAGAGGGAACAAGAAAAGGTTCCATCTGTTCTCAAACATCCACAATATGGGCGACGGTGTCACGACTTCTCGCCTGATACATGATCGTCATACCTCTGGCTTGTCCGACAGGCCAAGTGTTGCCCCCCGAACCAAACGAGACTCGACTCTCGATGCGGTGACGACTACCCTCTCTTTCTCACCTACTGATGATGCATCGCTCGGAGAATCCCACTCTCAACGGTCGCTCTTTCATACTGCAGATGGAATTGGACAAACGGCACTGTCGATTATGAGACACTAGACGGCTACTGGACGGAATAGTTCCTTCGACAGACATCGAAGAAGGTTATTTCTAGACCCGCTTTTTTCTTTTTCCTCTTTCCTTTTTCTGTCTTTGCTTTTTCCTCTTCTCTTTTGTTCTTTACTTCTTTCGGTTTCTGTTGATAATGGGGCGCTGCCAGCAAGATTCCAAGGTTTCTGACCTGTCACGCGTCATTCGTTGCTTCGGTCCTCACAACGCCATGCGAAATGAGCTCCAAACTGGACAGATCATTCGTACTGAACACGTTGCTTGCATTCCCTCAAACTGAGAGGATTCAGTAAATACTGGGCTGGCCTTTTGTCATACGATCAAGCCTAGCACGCATTGTCCGGTTTACCGCTGAATCCAACTGCGAAACCCCTTATTGCTTGTATCCTCCGAACATCGTGGGCTCTCCCTGAAGAATCCTCGTCAGAAAGATATTTCACTGCCTTGAGTCTCTCGACTCGATCTCACTTTCTTAGCTTTCGACACCAAAAAAGGGGTGAACAGAAAGAAAAAAAAAAGGAAAAAAAAGGAAAAAAAAGGAAAAAAACCCCTCTGCACATGAGTCGACTGTCGAAGGATATCGTTCTATCAGGAAATGTAGTTGCTAAAATTCGATTCAGGAGCGCTCGAACCTCACTAGACCCATCGCACAATATCACGTTCGATACCTCGAGCAAAAACACATGGACCTGGTTGTAGTCGAGAGATTTATGCGGTGTACATTGCGGGCACCTTATCGATATTAAACCTTGGCCTAGTCCCTGCGCTGTTACTACCATCTCACCTGGATTTACGCAAGAGGCTCGAATTATTGTCTCCATCGCTACTGCATAATCCTGTCTATTAAAGTTACTTGGAACGTCTGATGTGGGGTTGAGTCCAGGCACATTGTATGAATGACACTGTCAGTGCTCGTAGCGAGATATCCAAGCGCGACAGAAAGCTCTTCATCCTTATGGATATGTCTTCGTCGACGTCGTTGACCTATGTACTCTTCATGTTTGATTGTCCGATAGACTAGCAATTAGTCCCCCGCTAAAGGGGGGGGGGGTTGGTATCCGGTGCCACTAAGAACCGGGATCTGTGGTTTGACAGCTCCTCTGTCCCTACTAGGCTGCTGCTTTAACTACCTAGTACCCAGCACCCCCAATTGCCGGGTTCTGGTCAAAACAACACTCGAAAGTCTCAGTACTCTCCCAGACCATTCATACCGCTGGTTTGAAATGGGTAATCCAATCAACACTCGGTATTAGAATCAGATGAATCTTTTTGATACATAATAATAACATGTATACGGGGTATATGGAGTATACGGGGAACAAAAGAGAGTAGTATTCCGCCATTGCCTAGTAGCCCTCTAACTAACTAATACTTACTCTACGGAGAGACTGGCAGAATGAAGAAGGCGGAAAAGGCAACCCAGCCACAGTACATACATAATACTGCGCCTCGGCAGTTGAGCCACACCTAGTTGGGTCTTCCGCCGTCTCTCTCTCCCTTCGTAGTGCTGGAACTCCGTACTCCGTAGGTACTCCGTACCTCCGTACAGTACATAGTACATGCATGCAGTACTGTACCGTACCTCTCGGTAAATGGACGGACCCCCTCCCTTCTTTGCCTTCCTCCAAGCTTCATTTCCCCGTCTGAGCAACCTGCGTCGTCGATCCAGCTCGCATCATTCAGACAGCCAAGAACTGGAAAAGCCACTGCCTCAGCCGCACAAAGGCAATCTCCACCAGTCACCTACAGTACCGTACTGTATGTACTGAACAGTACGGAGTACTTTGTTATCGACATCGTCCCCGTCTTGGAACCGAATTTCGCACATCTCCTTCCAGGGCGATTCTATTGATCGTTTTTGTAAACACACGAGGCTCTCTTCCTTCGAATGCGTGAACCTCCGACCATTCGGTCAATTGATCTCCTTGCTGCCCCTCTGACTACCTCTTCGCCCTATTCTCTGACTATTTTCGTTCCTAGAAGAAACGACAACAGTGACGTCATCGAAGCCGGTGTGGCTGTCTTATCGCCAGAACTAGCTGCTATGTACAAACTAGCCTCCACCGAACCCCGGGTCTTCTCTTCTCTGCTTTTAGAGACAAGCTACCTACCTACCCACTTGGCAAGACTTGCTCTGTCGAGTCAGATGGCCAAGAAACAAACCTTCTCCGCTTACTGCCGAACTCCTTACAACGGCGCTGGTGCATCAAGTTCCTTGATTCTTCCCGACCGCTTCGGAAATGCATCTGCATGGTCAGCTGATGCTGCCAACAGTTCCAGACTAGTAGTGGCATACGGAAGAATTTGTCTACCGCTCTTTGACCGATTGGCCACTTGCAGAACTAAAGCAGACACAGGGCTTGAACGCCCTTATCGAGGTTAAAGCAATCGTCTTCAAGCTACCTGTCCGCTGCAGTCGCCGTGAAACTACTCCGATATCTGAGAAGACGCAGGTGAGCTGTCCTGAAAATTCGTGACCCAACTGAGAACCCCTGCAGCACGGGCTTGTGTGTTGCAAGGAGTCGGGGCCGGATAATTCAACCGTGCAAGGGTTCCTGCGGTGATTTGATCGATTCGAATCTACTGATACCGCTCCCGCCAAGGCCGTGGTAGATCTTGCTTTTAAATGATCAACATCTTCTTCATTGAGAACTTGAGCACGGAGTAAGAGCAGCCAATATATTGAAACCTGGTTAAGCCAGTACTCATGGACTACGTTCTTCCGTTCCGAATGCGGAGAAATTGGCTCGACTGGAGATCATTCGAGGAACAGATGCAGAAGAAAAAAATATCAACGGCCGACCCCGCTGACTGAAATCCTTTAGTTCCGAAAAGACGTTGGAGATCTCCGTCTTGAAACCTTGTGAAGAATCATCATGACTACGCTAGCCCTGGTCTTCTCGAAATCCTCAATCTCCCTTCCCTTCTTCACGCCTGTCGGGGAAATAGGGTAGCACCTTGCGTCTGTTCTTTGCTCTGAGACTTAACAAGAGGAATGCACTAGCTGGGCGGCTGCCTATGGCACATCTGTTGCGACTGTCTGCGTCGATAGCGAACAGAATACGGTCAGCTGTTTCATTTCAGTATCGCTGGAGAGTCGATCCCGATCTCCTCGTTCAGCTTTATCGTTGTTAGTCATGGATCCTCCCGACTCTCGGGCTATCAAGAACATTCGTTGCCAATATCATAGCGCAACATGCTTCTGGTGTACTGGTGTTCTACGTCAACAAAACGTCTATGCGTCAAATCCGACCGTGCCTACACTGAAACCCAGCGGATACTGGCAGTGGGAATTGTCTAGAGCTCCGCGGTCACGGCGAACTCAGCCCTTTTCTAACTCTATTGCGAGTCTCCAGTCTTTGACCCAAGGCCGTGTCGCCGTGACTGATTCCAGTACTTTCCTTGGACCCAATCCGCGGTTGCGGATGATAGTTATGATCAACGTAGATTGGAACATAAAGCTCCATTTCACGCAGATGCCGTGGACTGCGTCAGTGTTGGGATGTCTCCGTCTTGATGCAGGTACATCGTTGACTTAGTCATGGAAGACAGTTTCTCTTTAGGACCGCTGTTGTCTATTCGACTACAACCGACTACAACCATGAAGCCACTCGAATAATCAATGGGTTCCTGCCGAACCACCAAGAAGGGAGGATGGGAGAAGTGCATCAGAAACAAATTGGCTGTGTGAAGGGGGAAATTATTATCACCAATATCAACGAATGAACAGATGCAGGATCACTACCGAAAGTTGCACAATCAGGGTCCATTCGTGTCTTAACTGCTGCGCGACCTCCCGTGCTTCGTTCTATTCCTGATCAATCGAATTAGCTGCAAGAAAGGGCCTATCGTCATCATTTGCAGCCATTGCTTCTCGAGGGCGGAGTGGAGTTGGCCTCCAGGGGGCGGCGATCCGACCTCTTGAGTACGCCCCTTGCGTCGCAGTTCGTTCAAGTGCGAAAGCCCCCAATCAATGAGCCCACACAAGTCTCTCTCGATCCAACCATCGCCTCCTCAATATCGCCATTTTGAGTTGCATTGCATTGCATTGCATTGGCGTTGGGTACCCATTCCTGATCCTGACCTATCGCGGCGTGCAAAGGCTATACCATCTGGGATTTTCGCATCAGCAGCACCAACCCCACGTACTCGTGCACGATACCGCCCATCCTTCCACTTTGGTCCAACGGCGGTGGCTTTCTGGGGAAGATGGGCCTTGCGACGAGGTGGGTGAGACTAGACCCGGGCTTTTCTAGTCATCCATTCTCAACTACGTCATTTTATTGATTCTCCCAGGCGCTGTACTA